CCCTCTCTCAACCTCTGTTCTTAACTCTTCTAGTTTTTAAGGCTTGTTTGTTTTTTTACTGGAAAGGAAAAAAAAAAGCAAACGAAAACCATGACATACTAACCATGTGTGAACATGGTCGCTCCTCATTCCCGGTTTTAATTGCTATGTTCTCATTTTCTTCGAGAGCCTGAATGGCACCCTGGTGGCCTAGTAGTGTTAAGTGACTGGCTGATAACTGGTAGGGTAAACGGGCCTGATTTCCTCAGCCAATCCGCTTGGAGAAAGAGAAGAGAATCGGCTTCTATAAAGACCTCGGCCCTGGAAATCCAATGAGGCAGTGACACTGTCACACACGGTGCCACCAATAGACGAGAGAGTTTGTTTTGTTGTTTGTCTGGATTTTTAAGGCACAATTATATAACTTAGGCATTTCCTGCCAGAAGCAAGAGGATTCTCCTTTCTTTTTTCTTGTTTTTTTAAATTTTGTTATTGGTCTGTCTATTATCATTCATGCAGGTTGTGTTTTATACATGGACTTTGTACTTAATACGATCACTGGTGTACACTGTATTATATAATAACCACTGCTCTATGCCCATTATCACCCAGTTTTTTTCAAGCCTGAATAAACCTTTCTGTTGCTCTCCCTCCTCAGCCCACTCCGCTCTGCTGAGTGATTTTTCCTGCCCTCTCTGCCTTTCCCCATCTCTCCTTTCATTCTGACCATTTATGAATATCTTACTCAGTCACTCTCCTATTGTCACAATAGTGGCCTTATGCGACATTTGTCCTTGTGAGACCGAGGTAAGAGGGAGCGCTCGTTTCACAGCAGGAACCTACAGCACCTTTCATGGCACCGCAATTCCTGTGCTAAGAAACCCTAAGACCATTACACAGAAGCTCCACGTTGTTCAGTATAATGACGAGAAATAATTTTATTTCTTTTTTTTATTTTATTATTTTTTTTTATGTGTACCGTCAAATCAGATCTGACAGGTACAGGAAGAGATTGCCCCTTCCTTCTCCAGCAGAGAGCATCTGGTGGATTTGAACCACATACCTCTGGGATTGCAGTGCAGCGTCTCACCACTAGACCACCAGAGCTCCCTTGACGATAAATCATTTTAAGATTCTTTGCACTGTAAAACTGACTACAGTAAATTCGTTTGTGTTTAAGAAGAGTTGATGTTGAGGGCCGTGGTGTTGCAGCAGCAGGTAGCTGACTCCCCGCCAGGTCTTCAGAGGCAGTAAGTCACACAGGAGGAGATTTCCCACCTTTCTTCTCCAGAGCAGGTAGAGGATCCAAACTATGTGCCTGCAGGTAGTCAGTGCCGTTCCTCGCCCTTAAGACGCTTTACTGTTTCATTAGAAGAATGAAAATCGTCAACAGGGAACAACAGCTGTTGGAGAAGCAACCTTCATGTCATCGTCGTTGGCTGTTCTATTATATCAGGAGAGGAAGCCACAGCTGTGGTATTACCAACAAGGTGGACGGAGGAACTCAAGGTCCTCTGAAAAGCACACGTGAGCTTCAGATGAGCATAACGAACTGGGGGACACAGAAGTTTCTCCTCCGTCCACCCCGCCCGCCTGAACGGGTCATTATCCGTAAGAGGCAGAATCTGCCAAAGTAAATCAATTCTCTCCGATGTCTCTCACAAACGTCTTTATAGGCAAAACAGCTGACCCTGGCACAAATTTAACCATTGAAAATTTAAAACACTATTACCAAAATATTCTAATATTGCTGCATAAATTCCAATATCCTACCTTCTTAAAAGATTGTTAGTATGATTTTAAAACACTATATAAAGCTTCCACATTTTTGACGGGTTTTTCGAGTCCTCGTTGCCCCGAGTGGGTCTCCAAGCGTTCCGCAGTCATTAGCTGTCGCTAGTGCTACTTACTCCTTATTCAGAGAAGGAAACGCAACATCGCTAACTTGCCCCAAGAGAAAGCAGTTCTTCTAATGCAGTTCAATGAGTGACAAAACGCAACCAAATACGGGTCCTCTGAATTCAGCAGCACTTGTTTGGCTGAGCAGAGCACCCCACCTTCAACAAACACCTGCACCCCTAAACCCGGACAGTGTGGGCCCCACTCAGAATGGACACGCATAAGAAAGACAAAGAGCCCCAGGAGCATAACCCAGAAAGCCACAGCAGCTTTCAGGTCAGTGGTTTGAATCCACCAGTGACTCTACAGAACAAAAGATGGGTTCTCTCCTCCACGAAACATTTACGGCCTCGGACACCGACAGGGGGTCTCCAGGACTCTGAAGCTATTTAAAGGCAGCAGGTGTTTAGTGTGGAGCTTTGTTTTGGTTTTCCCTTTTTCTTGCCATTTTTTTGCCTTTTGCAAGGGAGTTGGCTTGAGGGCAACATGTGTGAACCTGACGCAGGAGCACCACCTAGTGGCCACTACAGAGAGCGGTGTAAAGTCCCCAGAAAGCTTTAATCCGCACTGACTCCGGACAGGAACTGGTAATGACTTACAGCAGCCCTCCCTCTGGTCCTCAAGGCTATAAACCTGAGGGGAGGGGCCTGCACCTTTCTCCCTAGAGCCACCTGGAGGTGCTATCCACCGGCAAGGCAGACCCTTCGGCTTAGCGCTGAACCTTGCTGTGTACTCTGCCACCAGAACTCCCTGTCAGTGAAAACGTCACACGTACAATCGACAACGCCAAGAGTGAAAGCATGAAAAACCATGCTAAGACAACACATGTGATTTTTCTGGCACGCGCACACACACGTTCAGCCTCTAGTTTCCAATCTCCAGCCAGGCAGAGGGCATGAGATGAGAGCTGTGGGCCAATGTAGCAGGTCCCCCCTGGGTGTTCCGTGCTCTGGGTGCTGCCAGGTGCTGCTCATTGACTAGGACTCACGCGGACCCTCTGAACAACAGATGTGAAGGTGGCCGTGTCCACCACCATCCTCACACTCACCACCGTGCCCGGGTCCAGTGCGGCAGTCACTGCACCAATCCGTCTAACCGAGAGTCTTCCTCTCTTCCCTCTCTCTACCCTTCCCAGCACGATGTCTTTTTACAAGGCCTGGCCCCCTCCTGACAACATGCCCCAAATAACGTGTGATGATTTTTCACCGCCCTTGTCTCTAGGAGCACTCTGGGTGCAGTTCCTCCGAGACAGAATTTCTCTGTTCGGTTGGAAGTACATGATGTTCAATAATCTTCACCAATACCATCACTCAAAAGCATCAATTCTTTTTAGTGAAGTTCTACTAGATCCTATGACCAAGTCCCGTGGCCCTTGTGATGCAAATAAGGAAATGAACACCTTGCTTTACTGCAGTGTTATGTACAATAGAGACATGTGAGATAGGTCTAAGTTTGTACAACACACATTTTATGTAGTACTTTGAGGTCTAGGATACCTGAAGCCACTTAGCTACCAATCAAAAATAGGTTGGTAGTTTGAAATCAGCAGTCAGTCAGAGACTAGGCAGAAAGACTAGGCAAATGTCAGAGTGAAAATGACAGCTTTGGAAAGCCTGCGGTGAAGTTCAATGTACCTGCCCCGTAAGATCACTATGGTGAGATTCAATTCAGCAGCAAAGTGTCCTGGTGTGCAGGGACTCTGACGACTAAGGTACTTCATGGTTTTTTAATGACCATGTCAGCTTGCAAAATTAGAAGACTGAAGAAGAACTGAAACATCTCAATTAGGATACATCTGAATTATGATATACTGAAAATAACACGGACTTTCAGAAGGAGGAAAACAATTTTGGAAAAAGTACAGTAAAAATGTTCACGAGAAGGAAATTCAGTGAAACGTCATCTCACTTATTCTGGGCATGTTACCTGTAAGGGCCAGTTCCTGGAGAGGGTCATCATGCTGGGTAAAGCAGCAGGACAATAAAAAAGGAAGGCAACCTTCAATGAGATGGACAGAGACTACGGTTCCTGCTTAGCAATGACCGTGACAATGGCACGAGCCCGGGAAGCACCGTGTTCTACTGTGCAGTCACCAGGACTGGAGCACGGCAACTTTAGAATTTGACGCCATGAAGTGGCCCATGGTCATTATTCTCTACTATCCAATCAAACTCCACCAGATCCTAGGGGAAACCGGGCCACAGGATTTTACTACAGAAGCACAGATAATGACTGGCTGTCACTCGTTCATTCAGACACTAAATGGCTGCTTGTCTGAACAAAGACAGCTGGCTAGATTGTGAATCGCTGGGACAATCCTGCTGCCCTTTACAGGTGAGACCAGTCACGGACCAACCAGGAGACAGCGATAAAGTGGCAGTGCCTGAAACACACCCCCCCACACACCCTGAGGAAGGATGCGCAGTTAGCACGTGGAATCCCTGAGCACCAAGTCCACCACACACTCCAGTCACGGAGATAACGTCAGGGAAAATTCTTACAAAACTTAAAATGTAAGTCCATAAACTAATGGTCTGTTGTCTCAAAATTTAACAGAACTGAAAGGTCACTTCAAGGTGACGACACTAAAGAACCATCTTTTTAAGAAGAGACACACAAGGAAGCTTCAGGAAGATTTTTAGAAAAGGCTTTTGCAGGGCATAAACTGTCTGCAGAGTCTGGCAAACGGACTGACCTGTGTCTATTCAGACACAAGGAAATCCCTCCCTCGGTAATAATAACAAAGAGCTTTTGTGTCTCTCTGCAAGTATCTTAGTAGAAAAGAGGATGGAATCAGCATGTTTTGCAAAATTAAGAACCAAGCAAATTGAGGAAAGATGGAGAAAACAGGGACAGTTCAAAAGGAGCCTCGGGAAGTTTACGTTAATCCAGGAAACCTGTTGATCCACTCCCTCGCTCCAGAAAGAATGTAAGGAAGGGCACACGCATACATGGGAAACAGTGTGTACAGGGAAATAAACTCATGTTACAGGTACCTTAAGATTTCCATAATAGAACACAGCTGGGGGTGAAATAACCATTGACGTGTGCAAATGGATGACAGAAAAACCTGAAAATTAAAACCCACTCTAAGAAGTAAAAAAAGAAGCTTTGCCACTCACCAACTTTAACCTCTGTAGCGGAATCCTGCTAATATCGATCTGGGTCCTTTCTGGAACATTTGTGAATCGAACTTCTGGGACTGCAACAGCACACATGACATGAACCCACCTGCAGAGAAGGAGACATCAGGTATCAGCAAAAGTTCCAGTACATTCCAAACCATTCTTCTTCAAAGTAGTGCTATCAATTCTTACCCAGGTGAGAAAAAAGCCAATGGTCAAAATTCAAAATGAAATAATTTTTTTTTAAACCTTAAGATTCTTGGATAATTGCAGGATAATCTCAGAACTACACCTGACATGAAGTACGATGGAAATACAAGCTTCCCTAGTCGCATACTAAAATGTGCAGGTACTTAATAAACTTATGCTAATCATTATACAATAAAAGATTAACTGCATTAATAATAGATCTATGCTAAATATACCATATAGCATTTTTAAATAATACAAATGTCATAAACTAGACTATTTGAAGTAGCCAAAAAAGTATAAACGAATTAAAATTGACTATCTTCAATTAAGTCAACTTCCACTGTAATCTTAAAATAACCGCAGAAACAGAGATGGGGGAAAGTGACATTTCAATTGTTCTCTCATTTCCTGCTTTTTAAAAAAATTTGTTTTCTTTTTTTAAGTGGCTTGCTTACAAAGTTCTATATATTGTATTTTATACAATCATTCTCATGAATTATATTTTACAAAATTGATCACGATTGGACCTTGCCCATCATTACCCTGTCTTTTTACCAAGATTCTTCCCATTTTCTTCCCCCCAACTCCTTCCACCCACCAAATTATTCAAACCTGTGGTTTCCACACATAAACTAACTACCCTCTAGCAAATTCTGGAATGTTCCTTAAAAAAATTACAACTTCCTCAATAACACTATCAAGTTTTTCATCAACATTACGCCTGCAAATCATAAAATACAAAACCTCTATGGTTTGAGGCAATTGTGAAAGAATCATCAAATGTAACAGCCTATTTTTAAGATGCAGACATCTTTTCATCTGAAGCCATAAATCTCCAATGTGCTTGAGGACCACAGGAAGAGGAGACTAAAACCTCACACCCATGAAGGCAGGCCTTCCTCTATAAACGAATGAACACCATAATGGTATAGGAAACACTATTGCTTTTGGTTCTACCAGGAAAGGGAGGTGGAGAACTGGGACCACCTTTGTTCTTACAGTAGCTCACCACAGCGCCTCATTCTGTTTCTACTGTGTAACCTGCTAAACTCCTCTCTAACACTTGCTGAGTCAGAAATGACTCAAAGCCGACCTCCAGTGCGTCTTCAGAGGCTGTACATTGTACAGGAGATTGCCCATGTTTCTCCCTCAAAACTGCTGGTGGGTTTGAACTCCCTGCCTTTAGGTTGGCCGTGCGACTTCTTATCCACTAGGCCACCAGAGACATCTATGCTAGAAGCAGACTATACTTTTTAACATGGTGCCAATCATACCAGCTGGGGAAGATTGAAGAACCCATATTTTCTCGATTAGCACAAATACTTTCTTATTAATTCGCTAATGGTTATATTCTAATACCTGATTATCATTTAGGTAATCTATCTAGAGATAACATGACTCACTGTTTTCAGACACATCCTGCTTTTATTAGACAAAAAAGGATTCTAATAACATCATGCTAAACACAGGGCCTGTGTGAAAATGCTGCCTTCTGTCGAAAATTGTTACTGTGTGCCATTAAGTCAGGACTGACCCATACCTCCTATTAGAGCAGGTTTTTCAGAGGCAGTAGCTCTCACAGAAAGAGACTGCCCGTCCTTCTCCTGCACAGCAGCTGGTGGATTTGAACCATATGCATTTAGAACTGCAGGGAGGGTTCTTACTGACTACTATTTATTATTAAAAGATGGTTTGGGTGCGTGGTTTGAATCCACCAGATGCTCTACTGGAGAAGGAGGGGCAACCTCTTCCTGGATCTCAGTTGACAGTACACAAGAAAAAAAAAGATGGTCTACAGCCTATGGCAATCGTCAGAACAGAGCAAGGGAACACTGCATGGTTCAAAATTGGGAAGGGCGTACGCCAGGGATGCATCCTATCTCCATACCTTTTCAACCTATATGCAGAACAGATTATCCGGGAGGCTGGGCTCTATGAGGAGAAATGTGGGGTCAAGATTGGTGGACGATTTCTCAACAATCTGCGTTATGCAGATGACACAACCCTGCTTGCTCAAACTGAGGAGGGCCTGAAGCACCTGCTGCAGAGGGTCAAGGACTACAGCCTACAATGTGGCTTGAGGCTCAATGTCAAGAAGACAAAGATTCTCACCACTGGACCAATTGGCAGCATCAGGATGGATGGTGAAGAGATTGAGATGGTACACAGCTTTAGTTTGCTTGGCTCCACAGTCAACAGTCTTGGCACCAGCAGCCAGGAAATTAAAAGGCACATTGCCATGGGAAAGTCTGCTGTTAGGGACCTCCCCAAAATACTGAAGAGCAATGGTGTCTCTCTGGAGACCAAGGTGCGTCTGATACAGGCCATGGTCTTCGCAATCACTTGTTATGCATCAGAGAGTTGGACAATGACCAAGGAGGATAGAAGGAGAATTGATGCCTTTGAGCTGTGGTGCTGGAGAAGAGTATTGAGAATACCATGGACTGCTAGGAAAACAGATTTGTCCTGGAAAGGGTTAAACTGGGCGGCTCCTTGGAGGCAAGGATTCTGAGGCTCCGTCTAACATACTTTGGACATGTTGTGAGGAGAGACCGGTCCTTGGAGAAGGACATCATGCTTGGGAGGGTGGAGGGACAGCGCAGGAGGGGAAGACCCTCTATGAGGTGGATTGATTCAGTGACTGGTGTAATTGGGATGGGAGTATCAGAGACAGTGCGATTGGCACGGGACAGAGAGGAGTTTAGGGCTGTTGTATATAGGGTCGCTTTTGAGTTGCAAGCAACTCGACGCCACGTAACAACAACAACACAGCCTATGGGACTGAAGACCTGGAAGAGACCCAGGACTAAGAGCCCGTCACTTAGCAGACGCACCCGGTCCAGCCACCCGGTGGTCTCTGAGGGCTCACAGACTGCACCCCAGGACTTTTGGGGCAGTGTGTGTGTAATAACAGCAGGTAAAGGAAAGTGTCACCCAGAGAGTAAGCAGGCTGACATGAGGAACACAGGGCCCACAGTCTGCACGGCACTTACTTCTTGTTCCTGGTCTGCTTCAGAGCACCGCCTCTCAGGGTACACAGACAGCATTCCTAGAAGGGAACACCAGACAGTGATGAGACAGCTCAACCCAGAACCCCAAAAACTCTACTATCTTATTTTAAAATTAAAACCACCCGGAATGAGGACGTGAAGCCCCTATAGCTCTGAGCAGTCAAGAGGAGAATGAAACAAGGAGAGGTGAGAAGACGCTGCCCCTAAAGGGATTCTGCAGATGCACGTCTCCTGGTGAGCCTGGTGTCATTAAAATGTCACCTCTGGGAAAGGCTGTGTGTGGCACGGAGCTCGGGAGCAGGAGACACAGGTACGAGATCTGCTCCCAGGAGCACACGTCCTGGAGAAGCATGCAAGGGCTGTCCCTGAGGGTCCCGACACCCAGCTCGTGTACAAACCGGAGTTCCTGGCCAGTCTTCAGAAGTTCAAAACTCAGTGCACATGCAACAATTCATATCATCATTGTTACTGTATTATTAAAGGAGTTTTCTGTTATCTGGAAGTATGTTTTTGTTTTATTAATATTTTTATGGAAATAAAACTAAACGAAACACACTGCTGTTGAGTGTACCCTGACTCCCAGGGACCCTGAGTGCCAGAGCTGAGGTGCCCATGAGGATTTCCAAACTGGGCTTTTACAGAAGGTGATCTGGCAGATTGAAACTGCCAAACCGTGGGTAGCAGTCAGTCCGACCTATTGTGCCCCCAGGGTTCCCACCAGAAGCTCTGTTACGTGTAAGACAAACCTATGACTGATGGACGTTAGGTGGAAATCATATGCAACAGTTCTAACTTACACAAAAATTAGGCTTAAAGGCAGATTTAGGAATGAAACTCATGTGTAACCCAGGGGCCGTTTGTACGTAGTTAAGTGGGGTTTAGATAAACGCCTGTGTGGTACAAAGATAAACAAGGGACACGCTTCTCACCGAAATATCACAGACCCTGCGCTTTCTGTGAGCAAAGGTGCTGTAAACAGTGCTCAGACTGGCCCAGATTGCAGAAAGGAAAAAGACGCCTGTGGAATTCGTAGCTCCATCCTCCCCGTCTTCACTGTCTTGGCTGGGACTTTGACATGTCGGGGTTAGAATACAGCACGTAAGCTGCACCACTCCCAGACAGCTGCGTTTACTGCCCCTCTCGCAAAGGTACTTTCTGAGTGACTTCTCACAGTACACATACGGGAAAGTCCAGAAGAAAACATAAACACTAAAGTTATTTCTTCCCATTTTTAAGATCACGATTATACTTCCAGTTTGCTGTGCCAAAACATTACTAGTTATGGGCTATCTTGAGTTTTATTAAACTCCTCCAAGCTGTAGATAGAAAATTTTTTGACACTAACCTCACTTAACTAATGGTGACAGATCCACCTAGCTATCTAAAGAAGCAATCTAGCCTATATATCATTAATAATGGGGTGTCAAAGCTCATAGCTTTTACTGCTTTGAGATACGTCATTTCCATAACACATCTATTTAACTCACAGGAGCTCTGGTGACTAGTGTTAAGGGACTGCACTGCCAATTCTAGAAGTCCAAAACTCTTCCCATGAAATTTACAGCCTCTGAAAACTCCCTCGAGGGTCAGCAGGGAGTCAGGTCCAATTCAACAACACGTAAATATAACACAGAACTCAGAGTGGAGATTCAAAGAGTCTACTGCCCTAGAAGTGTCCGAAACCTCACTCTGCTTGATCTGATACTTCCTAAGTGACAACTTAAAGGTTCTGGGTATTAAAGATTTGAGCAGCTGGATTCTATGAGGAGGAGTGTGGCATCAGGATTAGATAAAGACTCATCAACAACCTACGTTATACAGACAACACAACCTCGCTTGCAGAAACTGAGGTGGACCTGAAGTATTTTCTGCAGAAGGTCAAGGACTACAGTATTCAGTATGGACTGAATATTAAGAAGCTAAACATCAAGAAGACAAAGATTCTACCCATTGGGCCAATTGGCAACACTATGATAGCTGGAGAAGATATAGAAACCTCAATTAACAATTAATAATTTCAGCTAGCTCGACTCCACAATCAACACTCTTGCACTAGGAGACAAGAAATCAAAAGTCTAATTGCTCTGGGGAAAGGTGCTATCAGGGAGGGACTTCTCAAAAGTGTTGAAGAGCAACACAGTCAGTCTGGAGACTAAGGTGCACCTGACTCAGGCCATAGTCTTCCCCTAGAGACACAGAAAGCCTTCCCTGAGGACCATGGCCTCAAGTTCAGAACTCTCAGTTCATTTCTAATAAAGTAAGATGTTCAGTTGGTCAACCTTAGGGTCCCTTCTGCTCTGTCCTTACAGGGTCACCAGGAGTCAGAACCAACTCAGTAATGACAGCAGGTGGTAAACTTTGAAAAAGTCGTTTTCTGTGAAAAGCCATCTACTTGTGGTATCGGCGCTAGTTTTCTAGATAACTAAGACGGCATATAAGTCATATGGAATTTCTAAACATCTAAGCATCTCAACCTCAATGCTCTTCCCTCAGAGAAGCCTCCCCAAGCGCCTGGTCACAACACTCCTATTTCACAGCATCCTACTGGTGCCTACGTGCTGAATTCCTCTGCTGTCCTCACTACCCTGTAAACAGAGTGGATGACATGGAGGTTAATCTCCCTGTCTGGTGAGAGCTTATATTTATTTTTTTAAAAACTATATGAAATTAAGGCAAAAGAGGCCAGAGGGAAAACCTTCAAAATTATCGAAGGATTAAAAAAACGCAAAGGTGAAACTAAGTTGCTCTCAGGAGACAAGGATTTTGAAACTCCATCTCACATTCTTTGCACATGTTTCCAGGGGTAACCAGTCCTTGGAGAAGAAAATCATGCTTGGAAAGACAGAGGAACAATGAAGGAGAGGAAGATGCTGGATGAGATGGACTGACAGTGACTGGGGCAATAGAGGCAGTGTGTTGGAGACAGTAAAATTGGCTCATGATAGGACAGAGTTCAGAGATACTGTGCAAAGGGTCACTATGAGTCACAGGTGACTCAATGGCATATAACAGCAAAACACAACAATCTTCACTTAATCAGGATACTCTAAGAAATGAGTATTACAATTCAAGTGGTACAGCCACTCTGGAAGACAGTTTGGTGCTTCTTCAGGAAGCGGAACACAGACATTCCATATGACACGTGTCATTTGCTAGGCTCTCCCGCCCATCACAGGGGTCAGGAGACCTCATCTGGGAGGAGTACAGAGTTGCCAATCTCCTCCTCTTTTCTGCTGGGATTCACTGTCCCCTACGTCCACTGCCCAGGAGATGGCCCTATCACATGTGATCATTTTTATGACCTCTTTTCTTCTTCCTTTGTGCAAACAGTAAACTACTAATCAGAGAAAAATATTCAGTGACGATTCCTGCCAGCAGTCAACTTTTCTTGAGCATCCGTGTAGTGGCTGACACTACAAAGATTGGCTTGTACCAAATTTTCTAACTGACAGAATTTAAGAAACAGTAAATACATGATAATATTCTTCAGAATTCTGACCCTTTATATTGAATATCATCAATCATAATTCTCGTAAGAGTGTGTGGTAAAGCCCTCACAGACTGGGAAACTATGCCAGATAATGAGTCCGATTTAGAGAACAGTGCAACCACTGTGCTTCTTAGAGACAAGGATGGTGAAACTCTGTCTAATATACTCTGGGCATGTGGTCAGGAGGAGTCAGTCCTTGGGAAAAGCCAGCATAATGGGAAAGGTGAAGGGTCTGAGAAACAGAGGAAGAGCTTCAACAGATGAGCAAAGAAATGGAGATAGAGAACTACAGGAAATAACGCCTGCAACCTTTGTCACACCAGAAAGACTGAAGAATCCTATGGAGGCAGCAGGCTTCAAAGAAAGATGGAAGGAATACATGAGCACAGAACCAAAACTGACCAACAATGAACTGCTTCATGACCAAGCACCACTGGTAATGAAGGAAGAAATCCAAGCTGCTCTAGAGACACTGGTAGAAATACCACGAACTGATGGAATATGAATTTACGTGGATCAATAAACCGATGCAGCCCTGGACATGCACACTATTTTATGGCAAGAAACTTTAAAAATAGCTAGGTGGCCAAATGACTTTAAGAGATCAGTATTTGTTCTCATTTGCAAAAGAGTGCTCTAAGAGTGTGGATATTATTGAAGAATCTCATTAAGGTCATATGCAAGTAAAATCTTGCTGAAGATTATCAAAAAACAGCAAGAAAATCACATCTAAAAGAAATTCAAACTGGTTTCACAAGAGGCCATGGAACAACGAATGTATCTCTGCTAGTGTCAAATGGATCTTGGCTTAAAGGTAAACAGACCAGAAAGATATTTCCTTATGTTTTACTGACTATGCCAAGGCACTGGACCGTGTGGGTCTTAGTAAATTCAGTTAATATTGAGAATAATGGGAATCCCAGAACACTTAATTGAGCTCATGCAAAATTTATGCATAGACAAAGAAGTAGTTTTCTGAAGAGAACACAGGAACACTGCATGGTTTAAAATCTGGAAAGGTGTGTATCAGGGTTATATCTGTTCTCCATATCTATTTAGCCTATATGCTGATTAAATCATTCAAGAACATGGACTATATGGAGAAGAATCAAGATTGGAGAAATACTCACTAACAAGCTGTGATCTGCAGATGATACAACCTTGCTTGCAGAAAGTGAAGGAAAAAATATTTATGATCAATAGAGGGGAAAAAATAGAGTAAAATCAGATGTAGAGAAGGCTCAGATATTCACTTTCTCAGATAAAGATTTCAAAAATAAGGACACTGAAAATGAGGAATAATGCATATGACAAGATGATGACATTTCAGAAACTAAGAAATTTTTTAAAATGTAAAATTCTAGAAATGAAAACATGGTATGAAAAACTCAAAACTCTTCACCAAAAATACACACATCAGAAGATACCCAAATATCACAAATACAGGAATGAGATAGAATGTAAATGAAAACAACAACAAAAATTCTACCTTTGAGCGTGTGGGATACGGCAATGGCTCTGAAAAGAAATTGTATCATTATTCAATAA